AGAGTTAGCCAAGAAGAGACTAGATATAATGGGCCAGGCAGTGTTTAAATGAATACAGTTTCCATGTAATTATTTTGGGTGTAAACTAGCTGGGGAGCTGGGCAGTGGGAAGTGGCCTGCTGCTTCTTTTACAAGTTAGTGATAAGTCTGAGTTATTGGATGGGTATTCATAATTAATATTGAGTCTCTGTGTTGGTTATTTTGGAACTGGTGGGTGGGAAAGTCCACCTATAACCATGTCTGTAACTTTAAGATCAGTGTCAGCAGGAAAGGTTTCTCTTGAGAAACTGAGAGAGAGCCTGCTCTATGTCTCTCTCCTGGCCTATTCTGGTTTGCTGGCATCTTTGGCATTCTTCACCTGTCGAGACAGCTTTGTGACCACTGCCGTCATGGTCATAATTCCTTCTCCTCATATACATTTCGTTGAAAGGCATTATTTTATAAACACACCAGGTTATTGGATTAGGTGCTCACCCTTCTCTAGTATAACAGCTTTTAGACAAATTACACCTGGAATGACTTTGCTTCTGAATCAAGCTACAATCAAGACAGGCAATCAAGGGCAGACTTCACTTACCTCTTTGGGAGGAACAAAATTCAGCTCATACATAACAGAGTCAAAAAAAAAAACCTACCATATCTGCCCTAGATAGGGTTCCTAATGCTGTGATGAAACACCATGACCAAAAACAAGTTGAGGAGGGAGGAGTTTTTTCAGCTTACATTTCCATATTGTAGCCCAATACAATTGGGAAGGCAGGAAAGGAGCTCACACAGGGCAGGAATCTGAAGGAAAGAGTTGATGCAGAGGTCATGGAGGGTGAAGAGGTGTTGCTTACTGACTTGTTCTTCATGACTTGCTCAGCCTGCTTTATAACAGAACCCAGAACCACCAGCCCAGGGGCAGTATCACCACAATGGACTGGGCTCTCACACATCAATCGCTAATTAAAAAAATGCCCTACAGGCTTGCCTACAGCCTGATTCTACAGACACATTTTCTCATTTGAGGTTCCCTCCTCTCTAATGACTCCAGCTTGTGTGAACTTGACATAAAACTAACCAGCACAACTGGTCACTTGTCAACTTGACACATAAACCCAAGACTAATAAGCCACAACCTCTGTTTTGTTGTTTATTCCCAAGATCACATGTTAATATCAACATCACAATAAAAACATTTCGCTAACTTAGTTTCACAGTTGCACAAATTCAAACACTTTAAAGGTTCAGTCTCTTTTTTTAAAAAAAACAAAGTCTATCAACTGTAGGTACCTATAAAGTAAAAAAATAAGTAAAATACTTTCTTCTTTCAAGAAGGAAGAAGCGGGGAACAGTTGCAATTAATTCAAAGCAGAACAGAGATCCAACTGAATAAATAACTTAATGTCCAACATCTTGAATATACTCATGATCTCCCAGTCTTCTCCAAGGCCCTGGGTTCTTTTCCCCAGCTCCACATACTGCAGCCCACACAGATCGCTTCCTCAGTTCAGGCCGGTTCTACTCCATTGCTGCTGCTGTTCTTCGCAGTAGGGCCACTTTCACCTCCAAAATATGGGGGTCCCTTGCTGCAACTGAGCTTCACTGACACCCATCACCTCTATTGGGCTCTCCTCAGACACTCCAGCCCTGCCTCAAAGTACCAAGTCTCATCTTCTCCATGACCCTTCCATGCCTTCAAAACTGGTACCACCTGGGTGACTTACACTACCAAGCTGGGCTGCCAGCACCAGGTGCAACCATGGCCATCTCTAGAATATAGCTTCTGTGTGTTAAATTGAGATTTCCAGAAGGTTCTACATCAACAGTGGTGGCCCTCTCTTAATCACAGCTGATTCTTCAGTCCCAGCTGACCAACATCCCAGGAAAACAAAGGATTTTCCTCCAGTGGTTTTGGCCTCTTCTTGATCTCAGCTGCTTACTTAGCCCCAGCTGACCAGACACAACAAAGTCTTCACATAAAAGTTCTGGTAGAGTCTTTGCTTCCCTAGGAAACTTTACAAGCCAGGCCTTTGTTATCAACACTGCTCTCAGAGTTCTTATCATTCAAGTTCCCAAAGAACAGCCCACTGAGCTCTCAGCACTCAGTGAACTAGCCTAAAGTTCCAAGGTCCTTCCACAATCCTCCCCAAAGCATGGTAAGGTCTGTCACAGCAATACCCCATGGTCCTGATACCAGCTTCTGTCCTAGCTAGGGTTACTATTGCTATGATGAAACACCAAAATCAAAAGCAACTTGGGGAGGGAAGGGTTTATTACCTTTAGTAGGCCTTGCTAACCTGAAGGGCACCTTCCCAGGAGGTGTAGGTTAAATGCTATGTGATATGATGTTGGGAGCTGCAGACCCTCAGACTCTGAACTCTCTATGACCTCTTGCCTGTTGGAGTAAACAACTGGTTTTCTATGCTTGCAGCTGCTCTGAGCACAAGACCCTCATGAGTTCCTTATAACAAGGAAATGGTTTCTGGTGGGCTTGCAGTAGAAAATCCGAGAGCTTGGGCATGGCCAATAGTCAAAGAGAGCACTATACAACTGACTTGGAACATAATAAAATTGGCATTCTTGCTTTAAGAGTGACCCGTGTTTCTGTGTATTCTGTAATCCCCAGGCCCTTGTCCAATCATTATTCTAGGTGGTGCAGAAACCACAATATGATACTTAGTAGGTGGGAAAATGAAAAAAAGATCTCATAGGTCTAGGAACATGAGGTATATGGGAGGAAAAAGAAAACTCTTTAATAAATTCTAAAGATAGAAGAGTAAAGTGCCATCAATACTATGGGAAACTAAAGTCAGCATTGTTAGTTTTAAAGGATGTGCTTTATTAATAAAGCATAGGGAAAATTCATTCAAAAAACATTTATGTCATAAGAAAATAGTTTCAAGGAGAAAATGCAAATAGAAACCATCTATTACTCATGAAGACAAACTCGGGGTTAGAGTTCTGAACAATGTCACCTTACACTCTAATTTTAGCCTTGATAAAATACTATTTCCTCTACCTGGAACAGTCCCCTCAGCCATATATATTATCTATCTGCCCAACACAGTTCACCAATTCTTAATCTACATTTCATCACCCCTTGGTGATCACACCAATAAACTCTCCTCACTCCTTATTCTAAATCAGACAATGCTAATGTAGAAATCAAAGCACAACTTTGAGGAAAGTTTTGGAAATCATAGGAACTTCTAGGCCCATCATGATTCAGTTCTCAATGGAAGAATGGAAGAGAATCATCCTATACAATACTGGGCCTGGGCACAAGCACAAACACAATGTCCCCCTCCTTCTGACTAATTTCTTCATGTACTTTAGGTCTTAACTAAGAGGTCATTTCCCAAGAAACCTATCAGGATATCCCCCTAAGCTATACTGAGTTGTTGTCTTTAGTACTATAAACTACTCTAGCATTAGGGTCCATGATGTTCACAGTGTCTATTGACCTGTCTGCTTTGCCCTTTAAACTTTAAGTTCACTAATAAAGAGAACAGCTGTGTGGCCTCACCATTTTTTATCTTAAAGATTAAATGTCAACCACAAAGTACACAAATGTTAAATACAAACTTGCTAAAGAAATACACACATTTTCCATGCAAATTTCAGTTCTTCTTGAGGACTGTGGTTCTGATGGCTTTTCTAAAATATATTTCCTAGGATAAAACTCATTGTCATTATTTCAAAGAGAAAATAGGGTGGGGCTTTAGGTATGATCACTTCTTATGTTAGTAAGCTATAGATGTGGCCATACATAAAAAAAAAATAAAAAGTTATATGGTAATGTCAAAAGCTGATGTACGGCTTTCCATGCTCCAAGTCACAGGTCCCCTTTCCAAAAGGATGAAAGGATCATTTTAAAGTGAGCTATGTACAGCTGAGTGCCAGGCATACATCATGGATCAAGAAGTAAATCTCCAAAGTTACAAGATAATCCGTCTTGTTGATGAACTTTAAAAAGCGGCACTCGCCATCTCTTCATTCTTGCTATTAAGATTTGCCTTCATTTCTCAAAGGAGAAACATCTAATGGTCTCTTTTCAAGCCTCCCTGCAGCTATGAATATCGATCACATGGCTCATTTCTGGAGAAGAAAATATAATGGGGATTCTTCTTGTATTCTTACTGGTTTCCACCTTCCAAAGAAAGAGCCTAAATGGAACCTCCCTTCCCCCCTTACCTTTGCATGCAACTGTACAAAGCAATCTTTTGACTGAGAGGATAAGCCGAAGAATTAATATCAATATGCTGAGCGGAGTATCAGTGATGTCACTGAGTAGCTAGAACAGCCCTGAATCAGTCACTTCAAGAGTTAGTCCCATGTGCGGTTGCTTACCCTCTGGATCACTCTTAATCAGAAATATCTTGTTACTTACAACTGGGTGCATCCTAACTCTTTGTGTGGGACAGGATCTGTCTGTTTCCTTACCTGAAATTTTATCAGTTAAAGATTTCAAAATCCAGTTTAAATAAGCAAGAAAGAATGAATGCTCAGGAACTATGAAACACTTTGAAAACATTTTGAACTATGAAACATTTTGAAACACTAAAGTTATGAAGAAATCATCTAATGATGGTAATTTTTGTTTAAGAATACAACCCACATTTTAATAGCATGGAAAAGCAATAGGCTTGCTTATGCTAGATGAGAAATATAAGACAGCAGGTTGGAAAAGGGTGTTCATCAGTAAATTTTTTCTTGGCCTTGCTATTCAGAATCAGCTCATAACTTTATTACTAGCCACCTGCCAAGAAGACGTCTCAGTTGTCCAAGAAGCTCACAAAGTGCCTGCCGTACACACATAATTAGCATCAGACCTTCAGAGGCTGGGAGGGAACTGGGAGTGGGTATATTCAGTTTGAGTAACTATCTATCTACAAAGCTTATACATACTACTCCCCCCGACCTTGAATAACAGAACCACAGTCTTCTTCCGTCTTTCTTCAAAGTGTCCACACTCCCTCTCATTACAAAATACTTTTCCCAAACACTTTTTCCAAGTATAGTTCTTAATTTATTATTAAATATTCTCTTGAATACTGACAAGTTTACAGAATAATAACTTTTACAGAATGCATAAAAATATAGACCTGGGAAAGAAATTGTTTTATGCACTCTAAAGAGATCACAGTATCCTTGAAATCAGAGTAGGCAAGGCACAGCAAATGAAATACAGACGGTTGGGCAAACAGGCTCTCCTCCAAAACAGTGCTCTCGCCAACCCAACCACCACTTCCCACATCCTTTTCCAGAGCTTCTTCCATGCATTTTGGCTCCATGTAGCTATTTACAGAGACACAAACAGGGTCTGTGGCTTTAGATGAACTGATCAGATCAGCTACCTGATGGGGTTCTTTGATGCCCAGGTAACAGTGGTTGTATAATGCGGGGACCTGGTCATGGTTTGTCTTTTTTTTTTATAGACTGCAAAAACTAGAAGCATACTGGCTGGAAGAGAAGAAGTCTACTGAGGAACTATGTTTCTGTGGTTTATTTCCATGCAGGACTGGGCACGCAGAAACATGATGCAATGGTCTCTATGGCATAGTTACCAATGATAAAGAGGGATTCCTAGGCAGACTTTTTGAGGAAAGCTTCATTGGGGGAAGGGTGATGGGAAATACATCCTTGTATTGTTCTGGGCCATGGGGAATACATTTTCAATCACATCATGGGTTCTGCTATAATTTTTTTTATTCTGAGATAAACTATTTTCAAAATGTGTTAAGTCCTTGACCATTTACACTTAGTAGGGTGTTCTCATCAGAGTATATATTTACACAAATCTTGAAAATCCTGATTTGCTCATTTTTCAGCAGTTATCCTCCATAGAAACACTGGAAAATAAAGTCAGCAAACCATGCTCTGGGCTCTTTTGGTTTGGTCTACTATGCTTAAGTACATAAGCCATAGGGGGGAAAAAAGTGCAGGTCTGCCTTACCATTGCTGTTTTTAAAATAAGCTTCCTTTTGAAATGAAGATTGACTTTCTCTTAAAATGCTTACTCCTTTACCTACCTGCAATAATATGACTTGACTTTACTAACTAACTTAGGTAATTTTAAATGCAACTAGAACTTTCAATTCATATTAAATTGTCCTATCTCATAGGTTAGAGTATATCATAAGCACTAAAACATTACTTTCAGATTAATATTTAAAAATTATTTGGCCTTCTTTCTTCCCAAATCATAATAACTAGCATAGAAGACATCTAACAGATGATTTGAAAATTTGTGATTGTCAAAGATCCCTCCAGAACTTACATTTCTGGTTGACTATTTTATTCTTCAGAGGATTCATCTACACAATCATTTCAATATGACATGAATGAGTACAACACTGGATATGTATGTTTAAATTACGATTCCATAACTCAAAAGAACCGTGAGTTAGTGAGTAGTTGCTAAAAGAACAGATAAATGCCTTTTAAATTTCCCCTTTGAAGACTGTTTTTCCAGTCTTAATATTTTGGTCTTAAAATCGACATCCAAGGCAAAGCTTTATAGTTTGAGGTACATTTGACTGGCGAGACATTTAAAAACCTGGGAAGACGAGACATGATCGAGCGGGATAAGGACACTTTGAGGAATACAAAACATAATCAAAGCACTGGAAGTGACAGCCACATACTTGGACTCTGGAGGCGATCCCAGAAACGATCTGAACATGAACAATAACCCTGAGCCAGGCAGACCCATCCCAAAGTGATTGATTGAAAGGACTAAGCTCATTTGAATGCAGGAAAATCTGGCATGCAATTTTTTCTGGGTGCATTTTAGCTGGGCTCATGTATTTGTAGCAAGTTTACATGATACTTTGTAAATGCAGCTGGGGGAAAATATATAATAACCTTACTCTGACCTAAAGTGAATTAAACCTCGCTATACCTCTCTGGAAAATCAAGTGTCATTCTAGAGGATTTCTAGAAAGTTCTCTAGAATTCTCATTCCCAAAGTCTATAAATAAATAGGTTAAACATTGTTCACATATCTTCAGATAATATCATCGTATTGCTGAGATTTCATATTGAAGGGAATTATCTCTTAAGCAACCACAAAGCCTCAAGTAAAATCATACTTTAGGATGAAGACCATGAGAAGCATGATTGTCAGACAACTTCTCTCATACATATTCTCTCATTCACTAATAACCATTCATTCATTCATTCACTCACTCATTCATTCTTTCGCTTTCTCTCTGCCCCCTTCTCTCCCTTCCCTGTAAGCATGTATATGCATAATCATACAAACACATAAACACGCATATTCTGTCCCGCCAGCAATAAACTATCTGTCTCCCAAGCAGGGACAGTTACAAAAAAAAAAAATCAAACTGATAGTTCACATTTGTGTGAAATCACTCTATAATGTACACAGAGAAAAGCTGTTTTTCAATATCTGTCAACATTTTCCTAAGTAGCTACAACTTCAAAAGGAGAAGAAATGCCTTCAAATGCAAGTATGACGGCAGGCCTTAGAAATTCTTGCTTCCGATTGTGTCCAAAATATCGTATTCTGTAGATTCCAGGCTGTGCAGTTTCTGGAATATACCATTCAATTGTTGCATTGCTCAGACCCAGTAGTCCCTTGTGCCAGTAGAGCCTGTTAATAGAAAACAAGCAAATAAAAAAAATACAATATTGCTCTTTAAAATGTTTGCTTTTCATTCTGCACAACAGCCCAGGTCCCCTTCCTACCAGATGACCTCAATCTGCCTGTACAACATTCAACCTGCAGACCCAGCCTGCAGTGTACAACTTATGCCAAGACCTTGCTAGTTCACTCTTTGAACATCCTCCCCAGTCCCGAGATCGACCCAGAGTCCCACATCCAATTCCCCATCCGGGTTCAGTAAACCACATCCAATCTGTCCCCAACCCACAGGCTTTGGAAAGGATGTGCATTCATCCAAAATCCCTCCTACTACTTGATTTCACCACACCTGCACCATGGCCAACTTTCAGGTCCACCCAGATCACATATCCTGTGCTCTGTCCCATCCTGAAAGGTGGATTCAATTCAGAGACAGAAACACTGATGAGAACTCAAGCGGAAATGAAGGTGGAGTTTAAAACAACTCAATAATTCAACTAGGAAACTCAAAGGAAAATCAGGCTGGTGGAATGACTCACATAGAATACAGAATATTAGGACTTAAAGAAATTAGCTTTGACTATGAAAAAAACAGAAAAATAACACAGGAAAGAGCATGAAGGAGCTGAGGAACACCAGGAAAAGAACAGATTTTCAAATTATAGGCATAGATGAATCCCAAGTCAATAGCTAGAACTGAAGATCTTCAAATATTCAACAAGATAATAGAAGAAAACTTCCCCAAACGAAGGAAAGATGCACTCATATAGATACAGCACAAAGAACAGCAAATAGACAGAACCAGTAAAAAAAAAACTCATTGTGACATATCATACTCAAAACACAAATATTATAAGGAGCAAAGAATGGCTACTGAAAGAACAAGAAAAAAAACACAGGTCACATATAAAGAAAAAATCACCCATATAACAACTGATTTCTCAGTGGAAACTTTGAAAACTACAGGCAAATACCAGCAAGGACTTCTATCCTGTATCTGGAAAAATAGACTTTGAACTCAAACTAATCAGAAGAAATAAATAAGGACACTTCATTCTAATTAAGGGAATAATTAGCCAAAAAGATATTACAATCTTAAATATATATGCACCTAATTTTAGGGCACACAATTTTTTTAAAAAAATCATACAATTAGAATTAAAGACACAGATTAACCTTCAACAATAGTCAATAATTTTAATGTCCCAAATAGACAGGCCACCTGGACAAAAATAACAGCAGAAAAGCATCAGAATTAAACAATATCACATATCGAATAGACCTAATAAATATCTACAGAATATTTCACCCAAATGCCAAAAAATACACACTCTACTTAGTAGCCCATAGAAGTTTCTACAAAACAGACCAAATCCTGAAACAAACTCACACCCATTTAGATGGCGAGAAATAATAAAAACCAGAACTGAAACTACTTAAATGGAGAAAACAAAAAAAGAATACAAAAAACTCAACTACTCAACTAACTACTCAATCACTAAAAGGTGATTCTTTGAGAAGAAAAAGAAAATCAACAGACTCTTGGACCAACTAACAGGAAAGGAGGGAGGGAGGGAGGGAGGGAGGGAGGGAGGGAGGGAGGGAGGGAGGGAGAGAGGGAGAGAGGGAAGGAAGGACCCAAATTAACAGAATTAGAAATGAATGGGCAAACATTACAATAGACACCAAAGAAACTCAGAATATTTTAAGGGAATGTTTTAGAAACCTGTACTCCATTAAGTTAGAAAATACAAAAGTAACAGACAATTTTCTAGATTCAGTGAACTCACCAAAATTAAACCAACAAGAGCTCAACAACTTAAACAAATGCAAAACAAATGAAGAGATAGAAAAAAAATAAATGCTTTCTGACTTTAAAAAAAGAAAAAGTCCAGGATCAGACGGATTCACAGCAAAATTCTTCAAGACTTCCAAAGATCTACAACCAATCCCTCTCAAACACTTTAGGAAGAGAAGGAGCGCTCCCTGACTCCTTCTCAGAAGTCAGTGTCATGCTAATACCAAAACCAGGAAAGACACAACAAAAAATGAAAACTACAGGCCATTATCCCTAGTGAAGACAGATATTAAAATCCTCAGTAAAACACTACAAACCAAATATATAACACATACCAAAAAGATTATCTACCACAATCAAGTTGACTTTATTCCCAAGATGTGAGAATGGTTAAACATACATAACATAAGCCAATAAATGTAATCAACCACATCAATGAATTTAAAACTACAAGGAAGTCACACTATCATCTCAATAGACACAGAAAATGCTTTAGACAAAAATCAACACGCCTTCATGATAAAAGTCCTAGAGAGAGTAGAACTAGGGGAAAAATATGTCAACATACTAAAGCCTATTTATGGCAAATCCACAGCCAACATCATCCTAAATGGAGAAAAACTTGAACCAGTTCCACTGGAAGCGGGAATGAGACAGGGCTGTCCACTGTTTCCACTTCTTTCCAAAATCATGTTCTAACCACTCGCTAGAGCAGTAAGGCAAGAGAGGGAAATACACGAGATATAAATTTGAAAAGAAGGAGTCAAATTATTTTTCTTTGCAGATGAAATGATATTATATGTAAGAGATATGAAATTTTCACCAGAAACAATCTGGGAACCATCAATAATTTCAACAAAATGGCAGCATGCAAAATCAGCTTACAAAAATCTAAAGCTTTTCTATACACCAACAATAAACACCTTGAAAAAGAGATCACAGACACACTCCTATTCTCAATAGCCTCAAAAAATATAAAATATCTAAGAATAAACCTATCCAAGCAGGTGCAGGACCTCTGCAATGAACTCTACCAAACCATGCCAACTCCTTCACCTAGGATATTTTTCAACCAATTTACAAGAAGGCTGACTAGTTTTTCAAGAACTTCCTGTGACCATGGGAAAAACAAAGTCGGTGCAAGCTGGAGAGGGTCATGGCTCAGGGACACAGCACTTTCCCAGTGTGTAGCAGGCTCTAGATTCTATCCCCAACAACACTAAAATAAAAGCCAAAGGATGTCAGCCAACATCTCATTGTACCTGATCCTAGAGAAGCTGACACTATGCTGGCTGCTCCCTGTCAATAGAGTTCAAATGGAGCCTAATAAAATAAGCAAATGTGGCCAGAAGGAGCCTTGGAAATTTGGTATCATTAATATCATGTCATGTATTAAGAAGACTTTCAGTTTGTCCTTCCTACATTTTGAAGCAACTGTTTTCAAGGCATCACGGACAAATAATACATAGACAAGCTTACCTCGTCTCCCAGGAGGCATCGTTATACATTATCTGCCAGTCAGCTATAGAGTCCTCATATTTCTCCACAGTGAGGAAGGTTTCATGGGTCTGAAATACAATTAACACCACTTATCAAGCACAACACAGTCACAGAGCGATCTGGTCTGCTCTGGCTCCCTTCGCTACACACCAACCCACCAAAGTCTGTTGTGCACATGCATCAGGATTTTACCCAAATTCCTGGGCACACCCCTTTATGCAATGTCTTCAGAATAATAGTTTACCTCTTTTTTTTTTAAAGAAAAGCAGAAAAATTTAGAAATTTTGAGGAAGTGTAATTTTGGTATTCACAGCAAATTTGGAAGTTAGGGCTGAGAAGAAATTTAAAGTGAAATGAGATTTTTAAAAGACATAAGTCAAGATAAAAAGGGCAAGCCTCTCCATCACTCCATGATTGAGGAGAGGAAATGGGGCATCTTCCTCTCTCTCTGCCTCCAGGTAACTGAATTATTAGTTACCATGCCTTCCTAAGTCAAAAAGTTGAAAAAATGCATAAATTGTCCCTGTCCTGGGGTGCTAAAGACACTTCTACACTGTAATAATAGATGTCTAGAAACCATATCATAGGCAGAGTGTATTTCTACACTGGGAGATAACTATAACAGAGCAATTTGTTTCAGACCAAGAATACAGCTTCAAATAAAGCAAAGGTTTGGATGATATGACAAGGTAATAAATAAAGTGGCCATAAATCTCCATTACCATCAAGATTTGCCCACTGCCTCCCTGACAGATAGGCCTCAAAGAGCTGTGAGGATGGGTCAGTCTGTAAAGTGCTTGCTGTAGAAGCATGAAAACCCAAGTTCATGAGGACCCAGAACCCACATGTGCATGTAGATGTGCTTAGAATCCCAGTACTGGGAGGTAGAGACAGAGAGAGCCCTGAAGCTCCCAGGCTAGTCTTTTTAAGGCTCTAAGTTCAATGAGGGGCACTTTCTCCAAAAAAAAAAGAAAGAAAGAAAGATAGAGAGCAAATGAGGAACATATGCAATGTTGAACTTTGACCTCCACATCTCTGCACCCATGGCACATATGTGTCCACATCTACATGAACACACACACACATACACAAATAGGAGTTTGTCGACTTCATCTCTACTCTTCACAACCCTGTATACCTGCCATTTACAAATCTCCAGATAACTTTAATAAATGAAGTATTCATTTGTGTTTCGGCCATGTCATTGATTAAAACAATTCTCTAATTTTTCAACCGATACATGACATTTAATAAGGAAATGCTCATCACCATGAAGACTAATAAAGAGAGCTGTTTCTGCACATTGAGGCCACGGTGGTATTTTGGGGGCCTTACATGGAGTAGGAAGTATGATGGTCCCTAATAAGTAGGTCTAGAATACAGCTTGTAAAACATGTCTAAGTCCCCAAAATATCAGGACAAAACATGTGACTACCTTTTCCCTACTTCCCTATCATAATCTCTTACAGGTGCATATTTATTAAAAGTTAATCTCTCTGCCGATGAGTTTACGTATATACAAAGTAAGGACAATAAAACAAGCTACTGGGTAATAGAGAGGATTAGCTAAATGCATGAAGCAGTGTATAAAAATCATCTCACTTAACATTTGGAGCAACAGTTGTTTAGCAATTAGGGATAGTGGCAATATGATTGCAGGTAATGAAGAGCACTGGAGATTGCTTGCACCCTTTCAGAGGGTGCTGAGGGGTACCATCATGATGCTGTTAGCATCCTGTCCTACAGCACTTGTGAGATGAGTGCCCTGAGGATGTCAGGCATCATACAGCATCTAGATATCTTCAGAAAGGAATGTTCTGACTGTGCAAATGTTCTAGAAGAGCTTGACCACAGGGGCACACTGACTGTCCAAACATTGGAATATCTCTCCCAAAACTTGTTGTGATGGCATCATATTGCCACAATTCTATCATGGCGCAACGGCATTTGAATAGACAGAAAGGACACAGCTCATTTGACAGGAAGGTGTTTTGGATTACAAGTGATTTTGGACCCTAGGAAGAATGACTCAATATAATGGCTATATCTGCTGTCAGGGTAGAGAAGTGACCTAAAAACCACTTTTATAGATCCACTGTCCTCCAAAAATTTCTACAGATTTTTTGGGAGTTTGTGGTATTAGCTGTTACCTTCTTGTATTTAGTTAGTATTTTTAAAATTTTGTTAATTTATGTCATTGAGCATGTACCATGAGGAATGCATGAATGCCACAACATACATGTTGAAGTCAGTTCTCTCCTTCCTCCCTGCGGGTTGCTGGGACTGAACTCAGGTTCCTCGGGATTGGTGACAAACTTCTTTACAAACTGAGTCACCTTACCAAACCAGCTTTCCTTAGTTTTTGAGACAAAGCCTTGCTGTATAGGGTAGGCTGGCATACAACGCTTGGTTATCTGACCTCTACTTCCCACATCCTGGGATTTCAACTGTGAGTTACTACATCTAGTTTGGTTAGATGCTTGGAGTCAGAACTTATACCACTATTTTTCGTTTTGATACAAGATTACTCTACGGAAACTGCAGAAGACCACAGTCATTTGTTTCTAAGCATGTTATATATGTGTGAGTGGTTTACCATATATATATCACCAAAGAAAAGAACCAGGACATGTTTGGTAACAAATTGTTAACAGTAATTAACTCTAAGAAACAGATTTGTGGGAAGAGGTACTACCATGTTCTACTTTATTAATTTTGGGACCGTTTGTTTTTACATCAGGCATGCTATTTCTTATGTAATTTTTCCACGTTAAACATTCAATAGTGTCAACAAGAAACCAGCCAATGTAAAGCACATGGAACAGAACTCTTGGGGAATGCATCAGTGTGCAATCATTCCAAGGCAGAAGAGGTCTGGAGTAGCAATGCTGGGGGGGTCATAAAGGTCCCCGAAAGGAGGGGAAATCACCTCCTTAATTTTTTTTTTGCCCATTTCAATATGATAACACACTTAGTTTTCTAAATTTAAATGTGTAAATGAGAATGTCTCTGAGTCTGTGTCTTCTGGAAACACAGTTTGCCCCTACAGGAATTGTTCTACACATGACATTCTGAAGGGTCCGGGACAGTCTTCCTATGTGCTGTGCTCCACATTCAATTCCTCACCAGCTGTACCCACTGAACATTTTCCCACCTCCAAAAATAAAGTAAGAAAAATCTGATATATTTTTGAATATGTGCGATTTTCCTGAAAAGTGAAGGGAAGCTTTAAAAGTGGATTTAAATTTGGAAGACAATGAAGCTCACCTGATTTTCTGCTGAATTCTTTGGGTTAGCACCTACAAATGTAACTTCAACCACTTCTCCCTGCAAATAAAAATGACACCTAATTAAATCTAATACATGCCTCTTGGCTATATTTGGATTTGAAACATTATCTACTATACATTCTAGCATCATATATTATATAAAATTTTATATATTTTATATAAAATATTCCATATACATTCCTGTATGCATGTTCTATTTAATTAAGTGATGCCCTTTTAAGTTTGTTGGGAATTGGAGCCAAAGAATTTTATTTTGGCAGATTCATATATAAATAAAGATCCAGAGCTATAGTTTTTAATGGGGTAACAAATTAAAATCACTTCAGATTGTGTTACAGAGCCCTATCATGAAACAATAGTCACATACACCACAGAGAAATTAGAAGTTAATCACATAGTTAGAGCCACGCAGTCATTAACAAAGTTGTCAAAACATTAATTGGAGAAAAGACAGTTTTGACAATGATCTCTGACAGCACAGGGAATAATCTGGAACTAACAAATAGGATTGCATAAAATTAGAATGTTTCTTCGGTCCAGCAGAAGAAGCCATCATCAGAATGAAGGGATGCCCTAAATCTTTGCCAACTATTCATCTATCTTAGCTTCATTTCCTATTCCTATGATAAAATACCCTGACAGGAGCAACCTATGGGAGAAAGGGCTTATTCTGGCTCACAGTTCAAAGGTCAAGGCAGCACTGAGCTCACTTTCTACATTTTCTTATTTCATTTTTAATTATGTGTGCACATATATGTCCATGTGTAGACATCTGCACAAGTGTGGGTACTGTCCGAGGCCAGATGCCTCAAATCCCTCTAACTGGTTGAGTTCTCAGCCCTAAGGAGACCATTTATACCATTCCAGGAAATATTGCAAAACAACACGTAGAAGGAATGTAAGAGCCAGGAGACAGGGAGGGTGGCTGTGAAATGCTCTTTTCTGGGCTTGACACAGCCATGGCAATCATGGGCTCACAGCAACTGCTTTAGGCCCACGCAAACTGGACCTGTCAAAGTCAATCAAGAAATGGGAGGTTTCTCTGAGGCCCTTCTCACCCTTTCTAAACCAGTGGCTATTTATGGATTCTAGGCATTAGGAAGTCATCTCCAGATGTGTACCCACTGGTGTACCCAGCAGGTTCCATTGTCTAATTCCATACTCATGGTCATACAGATGGTGCAGATTAAACCCAGAGGTCCCATAAAACAAAACAAAAAGACAAGAACATCGGAAATGACCTGTAGGGAGGAGGGAGTATCAACAAGAGTGGGAAGGGGGTAAGAGAGGGTAGGAAGTGAGAAATCAGAATATATATGTGACATAGCCATAAAGCAAATTTAATTCATTAAAAAAAACTTCCAGAACTATAAACTTGAATGGTAAATTTTACTGTGGATTATACCACAGTAGCCTCTCCTAACATACATTTTTAAGTCCTAAAAATAGAAAAATAAATAGATATATTAAAATCAGAGAAAGAAAAGCTGGGTCTTCCAGCATCAATTAATCAAGATAATTTTCTGCAGGCATATACCAGGCCCAACTCCCAGGTGATTCTAAATTCTTTCAAGTTTGACAATTAACTCTAGTCAACACAAGATCTAATAATGTAGTCCTGTCCAGATTCTATAGAAGAATTCCAGGAATTAAATCCCAAAAATCAATCATCTGATCAATAAATAAACTAATGAATGGAACATTATGTTCTACAAGGAAGAAAGACAAATGTCCTAATGATACTTCCTTCAAGTACTCAACATCATTAGCTGTTAGGGAAATACAGTTTAAGACTACACTGAGATTTTCTCTCCTGCCTGTTGGACCAGCTACCACCAACTAAACCAGCAGCATCCACTGCTGGTGTGGATGGGGGACAAAGAAACCATTCTTGCCTAGCGTTGGAAAAGTATACTTAGGCAGCCAGTCCATAAGTCAGTACTGAGGCCACTCAGACACTAAAGCTGGAACCATGAGATGACCCGATTAACCCCAGACAGACACGTGAAGTTAGCGTATGTCCCAGTCTGCTTCTGTACTGCTGTGGGGAAGCACTGACCAGAGAGCTACCTGGGAAGTAAGAGTTTACTGGGCCTCTACTTCCACTTCAGTCCATCACTGAGGCAATTCAGAACAGAAACTCCAAGTAGCTACCTGACATCAGGAACTGAAGCAGAGACCATGGAGGAGTCATGCTTGCTCCCCATGACTGTCTCAACCTGCCTTCATCTACGATTCAGGACCGCTTGCTCAGGAGCGGCACCACCCTCAGTGGGCTCCTTCCACATCAATCGTCAAGCAAGAAAATGCCCACAGATGCACCCACAGACCGATCTGAGGAGGGAAATTCCTCAGTCGAGGGTCCTTCTTACTAGGCGACTCCAGTGTGTGTCAGCGTGACAAAAATCTAACCAGCAAAACATACCAGAAAAATATTGGCACATCTATGTTTATTACAGAACTATGGACAAGAGCTAAGATAGGAAACATTGGACATGTCCATTAACATATGAGTAGGTAAAGAAAATGTAGCACAATAGATCTTTATGCCACAATGAAGGATAATTAAATTAGCAGGAAATTTAATAAAACTGGTGATCACTAAATTTTTTTTAAAAAAGACAAGACTCAGAAAGACAAATACTGCATGCTTCTCTTCACATGTAAATGTCACATATACATATATGACAATGTGACATGACAGTAGAAAAAACTATGGCATTTCAAATATATACGAACTAGGTTTCTTTGTGACCCTGGGATAAATATATGCACTTATTTTTGTTTCTGTCTGTTATTCCTTTGGGTCTGGTCACTTTAAGAGCTAACCACACCCACTCCCAGCCACTTCTGACCTCCCTTACCGCCATCTTAACACTCTCTCTCTGTCCCCTGTCTCTTGGTGTGTACACACGTGTCTCTGTCTCTCCCTATGTTTTTCTCCATGTCTCTCTGTTTTCCTCTTCTTTAAGTAATAAATGTCTTCCTCTTCTTTAAGTAATAAATGTTTAGCTTTATGTATAGCCTTATGTCCATTTACTCTGCCGTCCACCGCATCCAGCCGCCTGACTCTGCCACTTGCCCGGGGAACACTGCTCTGGCAGCAGCCTCTGCCTGGTTCGCAGGCCACTCGGGGCATCCCAACCATCATATCTTTTTTAAAGAACAATACTGTCCACTCCCCACAATACCCTATGCCCCATTTCACCCTATTGCTGACCCTTTCTCCCCAGCTAGCCCCTCTTCTGCCCGGATGACTTGTATATTCTACTACTCTCCCTTGGTCCCACTCCTACCCTCCCTTCAGACCTCTTTCTCTCAATTTCTTTGGATGCTAACTAAAAATATTTTAAAAACCAAGTTTGGACATCACAGAAGTCGATAAAAATGCTTATCCCCAAGCTCCGTATTTGTCTGAGCTCCGTCCAATCACAACCACAGCAGATTTTCTTCTTCACCCCACACCAGGCTTGGGTGTTCCATCTCATGAATGTTTTGTTGCATCAGCTTGGTTGGGATTGAGACTGTGGTTGGACATTGGAATATGATTCCCAAGGCACTTAGCAGAGACACATTAGCCTAATGAGGAATTCTACATACTCAAACAGGAAATCAGGAAGACAAGCCAAGGGTCATGATTTATCCCAGCTCTTATCAGAAAAAAACAGTTTGAGGAGACTGAGGGGAAGGAAATGAAAGAACAAAAAAGAAAAATATGACACTATATATAGATATAATTTGAAAATATAAAAACGAAACCCACTTCTTTGTATGCTAACTAAAAACAATATAAAATGCAAAGAAGATGAATATGCATAAAATATATAATATATAATATATATGGCCTTCAAGTAGAAAGGGGACTATGGTGGGATAGGGAGTGTGCCTAAAGTGGGGGCAGAGGGGAAGAGAGGGTAATGGAGTTGATAAACAAACATTGCCTGGTTTTTTCTAGATAAAACATATATACATAGGAGATGAAAACAGACAGGTCACCTTATGAGAATAAGATGATCAGCAGAAGGAGGCACCAGGGAAGCCAAGCAGAAGAGCCAAATACTATGACATACATGTGACCTGGATAGTTTTTCTCAACCTGATGCAAGCTAGGGCCATCCAGGGAAAGGGAAACTTAATCAAGAAAATGCCTACATAGGATTGGCTTGTAACCAAGTCTGTTGGGCATTTTCTTGATTAATGATTTATATGGTAGGGGCTAGCCCACCATCTGTTGTACTGCCCCAATCCTCTGCATCAATTCCTGCCTCGGGTTCCAGCTCTAACTGCTCTGGATGATGGACATCAAGCTATAAGATGAAATAAACCCTTTCCTTTCCAAATTGCTTTTGGTCATGGTGTTTTGACACAGCAATAGAAACTCTAACTAAGAAAACGTGAATGAAAATGCCCCGATGAAACTCTTTACTCCTTATGCAAACTAAAAACTTTAATTAAAAAAATTGGCCATGTGGGGCAGTAGTGGCATATGCCTTTAATCCCAGCACTCAAAAGGCAGAGGCAGGCGGATCTCTGTGAGGTCAGTGCCAGTCCAGACTAAAGAGCTAGTGACAGGACAGGCTCTATACCTGTAGCACGCAGATGCCGTCACCACCTTCTGTCATCTATGGGTACCCAAACATATGTAGCATACACTCTTACACACACATATAAATAAACAGGGGAACTCTAAATACTTGTCTCCTAAGACCAGAGACAAGCCATGGCTACCAAGTCTCACAAATCCTAGTCCAGATTTGTTGTGATTTAAATGTGGTGTGTCCTCTCTCCAACAGTGGTTACTGTATTGAAGGTTGGGGTTCCAGGGATTCAGAGATGATAGGAGTATGAGGGCACTAATGTCACAATGGGTTTGTCCATTTTTACCCACTATGAACTTGTACTGAACGAATCATTAAGGGGGTGACCTAGTTGAGCAAGCAGGTCACTTGGAGCATGGCTTTGAAGCCTCTATCTTCTCCCTGGTGCTTCCTCGTGTTTCCCTACACTTCTCAGACACTGCAGTGGGATGATTTCCCCATCACACCTTTCCCTCTACCTCACCAGGCAGAAGCCCAGGGAGATGGAGCCAAGTGACATGGCTTGAAACCTCTGAAACCATGAACCAAAACAAATCCTCTCCATAGTCGTGATACTTAACACTCAGCACCAACTTGGTAAGATTAGAATCACCAAGGAAACGTGTCTGGGGTCTTTATGAAGATGCTCCCGGAGGTTAACTGACAATGGAAGTCTCATGCCAGTGTGAGTGGCACTACCCCATGGGCTAGAAGACTAGACTGAATAAAAAGGAAAAGCGCAAACAGAACACCAGCATTTGCCTCTCTGATGTGACTATGGAGGTAGTGTGACCAGCTGCCGCTGCCTCATATGCCTGTGGCTGTGGCTTCTCCACCGTGGTGGTTTGTATCCTCCATTTGGGAGGCAAGAACATACTCTTCCATCCTTTGATCTCATCAGATACGTTGTCAGAGCGGTGGGAAAACTAGCTGACACATCTGCCTTCAGTCGCTTTCTCAGTTGCTTTATCACAGCAATGAGAAACTAACACTGCATTCTAGAGCATTTGATAATTAATGAAGCCGGACTATGAAACTTCATCATGCTTCGTTGGATAAAAAGAGAAATCTAGAAATGGATATGCAGTAGCATTTTACTTGTATTTTAATAAATAAAGCTTGCCTGAAAAGAGTAAATAAAGCAGGCCCACGGTCAGCCATACAGACCAGGCCATGGTAACACACACCTTTAATCCCGGTAGCCATACTAGTTGCCATAGAAACCGGACAGTGCAAACCTTTGATTCCAGTGGTGCACACCTTTAATCCCAGAACTAGAGAGGATTTTAAAACAGGAATAAACAACTCTCAGGCTTAATCTCATTCTGAGATTCCTGGAAGTAGGATTGCCATTTTGCACTGAAGTAGAGGTAAGAGTTAGTGTCAGGCTGTTTTGCTTTTCTGACCTTTAGACTGAACCCCAGTTTCTTCCTCTGAGTTTTTATTAATTGTGCTTCATGAATAAGTAAATTTATTTAATTTACTGATTATATAATAAGTGTGGAATTTCCTAAGGAATTCATTACAAAAAATAACCTTTCAGAATTAATACATTTTTCAGCAAGGATGAAAAACACATAATCAACATAAAATGTAGTGGTGTGGATTCTAGTTCATTCCTGCGTGCTTTTTCATCCCTTGTTCTAAAAAACAACTTGGCCTGACTCCTGTGCACAGTTCTTTGACCATCTATTTAATAAAAAGAATAATTTGCATTTTAGAAAACCAATTTTATATAGTTAACCACCAGGGGGAAAAAGCAGTGTTTCCCATTCCCCTCACTTATGCAGAACCTCTGTAGAAATGGATATAGATGTCAACACCATCACTGCTGAAGCTAGCCTGTGGTACTGTCAACATCATCACTGCTGAAGCTAGCCTGTGGTACCGTCAACACCATCATTGCTGAAGCTAGCCTGTGGTGACGTCAACATCATCACTGCTGAAGCTAACCTGTGGTACTGTCAACATCATCACTGCTGAAGCTAGCCTGTGGTACCATCAACATCATCACTGCTGAAACATTAATATGGTACCTCTAGAAGAAGGTGATGATGTAAGCGACACCTTTCCTTTTACCTCCAGAATCAAATTCCTAAAGCATTATAGAATTCCCCACGAATCTTACCACTCTGTATTCAGGTTTTGCTGCCTCCAGGACTTCCCCAAACTGTCTGCCTATCGGTGTTCTATCCGGAATATTAGGGATGAGTGTAGCTATCAGGTTCTCGAAGAACGGAGGCTCAGGACCGCTGCTCATGTTGGCTACTGTGTCCTGAAACAGAGAGCATTTGTTAAAGAAATTCCCTGCCCCCACTCATATTCCAAGAAATGTCCCTATTAAAGGAGGCTCACCTATATCTACACAAAGGCACTCCAAAAAGCTAACAACATTTAGCAAAATGTGAGGCACCCCTTGCTAAAATGAGAGCCTAAATATTTGTAATTTAAAGTTTTTGTTAGAAAGTTTTTGTTAAAGGAGTTTGCTTTGCTGGTATAGTCCAGAGATCACAAAGCAAACACAGAAGCACACTATTGTAGTGAGATTCTGGGCAGCCATTGCTTTCATTGTGTGGCTCAGGGTAGGGACCTGCTACACATTATGGCTTCATGAAATGATACTACAATTATGCTTAAATTTTCCAGTATTAAGTCTCATGAATGTGTTTATTTATGTTCTGGCATATATGTGCATGTAGTCAGAGATCAACACCAAGTGTCATTCCTATTCAGGTACCAACTACCTTAGTTATTGTGACAAGTGTCTCTCATTGATTTAGCTAAATAACTTGTAATCAAGCCTAGGGGATGCTCATGTCTCTATCAGCCCAGCACTGGGATTACAAGCACCTAATGCAGTGCCCAGCATTTCCATTTAGATGCTGAAGATCAAACTTGAATCATCATGCTTGGAAGCATGAGTTATTCCTCTGTTTCTAAGATGTTACTTTAGTTGCTTGGTTGGTTGGTTGGTTGGTTGGTTGGTTGGTTGGTTGGTTGGTTACTTGCTTGCTTGGTTGGTTGCTTGCTTGCTTGGGTTTTTTTTTAAAGTGAGTCTTAGCAATGCAACTTAGACTTACCTGGAAATTGTTGCATATCACAGGTTGTCCTGAACTCATGATTCTACTACACTAGAAGCGCAAGGGCAAGGGTTACAGACAACTACCAACATGCTTGGTTCAAACTGTAGGTAATCTTTTAACCAAAGTCATTACCAAGGTTCTCTCCTGGTCCCAAATCTGAGCTAAATAATATAATAAATATATCTTTATTTACAAATTAAGATTGCCCTGACTGGTATAACATTTTCCACAAGATTTGTCAACTTAAATGGGGGCATCAAAAACAATAATCTCACTTTTTCAATATCCTTTGATGGTTTTTAACCCTGACATTGGACTGTTAATTTTTATAGCAATACATGGTGTGGGGGGTGTATTATTGCTCTTACTCTGCAAGCAAGAAGACGGGATTGAATATACTCAGTTGGTTCTCAAGATCATATAGTCAGTCTCAAACTAAGTGACCGTAATATAAACCAAGAACCAAGTGTCCAAATGACTAAGTCTAAAACTTAGAGGGGCACTGTGGTTTAAAACACTGAGTAAGCAAAGTGTATTCAAGTCCCAAGATTGTATTCGAATACAATAAGCAGTTCAACTCAGAGATGTATGAAATTGTCATAGTTGGTCTACAGCATGTAGGTCTCATCTGTTTCAATCCAGTACATCCACACTCTTTCTTTAAAGGGTTTATAGTACTTACTATGCTGCAATTTCCCAGCTTTTACTATTATAAGGCAAGTAATATACTTTTTTGCAAATAATATACTTATAATTATAAAGTTTACGTGTATTATATGCAGATCTGTTTATTATCTTATGCTCATTGTTCCGCTTGTCAACTAATTGTCTGTACCACAACGGCAGCTATATAAATAACTATCCTAACGGGACTTTTTTTATACTAAAAATCTTTAAATCAGTTGTACACATTTCAGAAACACACGTATGTGAATGCCAAGGCAATATTAGAGCTCAACAAACCTAAGTCTCCATTCATCAGAACAATTTATAGTATATTGAACCATCAAAAAATATAAAATGCTTCTTATTAAAAAGGCAAGATTCCTCTGGTTGAAAGATACATCTCAATTTCAGAGATGTTATAATGTAGAAAATGAGAATCTCAAACATTCTGTGTCTGTGTGGTCTACTCAACTCTCTGAATGGGAGTAGAGAATCTGGAAAGTGAACGCTGGCTATGTTATAGTACAGATGGCCACTTACCTACCACCTTCAAGAAATTTTAACCATCTAAAATATGGAGAAAAATAATATCTCCTTATTTCAAAGATAGCTTCATGTTAATAAGATATATAAATGCATATTATCTTATAAATATGCATTTTATATATGAAAATACATATAAAATATATATGAAAAAGACTGCTATTACTAAATGGTAGTCATTGAACTTGAGTATTACTGTCAGTAAACTTTGAATTACTTTTTTAATGATACCAAGTAGTCCAGCTTTCTTCCCTAAAGAAAACTGCATATAATTTTAAATTTGTCAAATAAAGTGTATTTAAGGCTTCTTCTTTCTTGATTCTGTGCCTCCTTCTCCTGAAGATAATCATAGACATACAACTACACATGCACACACACACACATACACACACACACACACACATGATTGGATTACCGTAGCAATTGCTTTAGCAAGATCACTGAAGAGCTGGATGTATGCAGACAGAGTGTGTGGTCCATAAATTGTAGATGCTGCTTCATACCTCTGAGCCTACCAAGAAGAGATGTAGACATTTTGTACACACCAATCTGTTTATAGAAGTATAACATTTTTGGCAAAGAGATGTCCAAACCACTCACATAATCCAATACCAGCAAATACTCAGTGATTTTTGTGAAAACGGAATGTGAGCCTTTTCCACCAACCAGCCTAAGTGAATGACTGCATCTAGTCATTTTAAAGGCAATGGGATTTTTTTGCTTTTGTCATTTTGGCCCCATTTCTTTTACTCTGAACGATGTTACAGACTCCCACCTCTTGTGCCCGTGGTTATTTTAAATTCTTGCAATATAAGTGATCTACCCCAGGCTGAAAGAAAATGAGGGTAGAAAGGATTCTATTTAAAAACTCCTAGATAAGTTGACTGCTAATGGTCCCCTCTGTGGAAGGACTTCCACCTCACCACAGAGCTAAGAAATAGAGCCAAATGCACCTCAGCATCTCATTCTGAGCTCCTGCCCTTGGTGACTCTACAGGAACCTCAAGGCCATCAGTATGCAGGGTCCTCATCATTACAGAAACAGCAGCTTTTCCTGCAGTGTTCTGCATGACACCCTTCCAGTGTCTCTACTGTGATCACTCGGCCATCGTATTAGACCCCTCTTCCTACCTCGTACCACATTCTGTAAGTCTGTAGATTGTATCATAATTGGTCTTACCAAAGCTTAAGTGCATTCTGGGTAGTCATTTGCATGTCACAACGCAGGCTTCTTACAAGTGCCCCCAACAAAGCAAGTTTCAGGAAAAGGTGGAAGTCAATGAGACTATTATGCTGACAAATACTTGGAAGTGATGAGTGCCAAACCAAATATGATCTTTGGCTTATTCTCATCGAGTCTCTACCTAAAACCAAGTCACCTCTCAGAATCATGACCGAAGAAGTCCAGAAAGAATGTGCAATGAAAAAGAAAAAGAGAAGGCCGTGAGAACTTTTTACTTTACCTGGTATTCTTCATACGTGGTGATGTAATGTGTGTAAACATTGCACAGACCCGAAACAACAACGGTCATATCCTTCATCCCGTACAATTCAAACTCCTAGGAGGGAAAAGTGGAAGACTTATTCCTCTTAAGGCTGTTGTTATCTGAACTCCGCATAAGGTGCACATTGCTATGAGTTATTAACAGCAGACATATCTCTTTTTTTTCTTTTTTTATTGATTTTATTTGGCTACACATTTTTCTCTGCTCCCCTCCCCCTTCAACCCTCTTCCATGGTTCCCATGCTCCTAATTTACTCAGGAGATCTTGTCCTTTTCTACTTCCCTTGTAGTCCAGGTTTTCTGGGTTTGTGAATTGTAGGTTGGTTTTCTTTGCTTTATGTCTAAAAGCCACTTATGAGTGAGGACATATGATATTTGAGGAAACATACCTCTTAAGGAAAATCTTCCCAATGACCAAAACCACCGAGGAACATAGAGATGTCAAAGAGTACTTTGTAAATTAGACCTAATCTCCACTAGAGTTGGACAAATCAATGGTGCTATGAAAATCTTAATAATCATATCAGCGGGTGTAGACTCCTATCATTAAAGAGAAATTGCCTCAAAACCATATTGAGCTTATATTATATAATTCAGACATGTTATTAGACCCAACTAATAAGACAAGACATTTATTACGTTGTCATTTTTCAACTATTCTTAATACATCCTGACTCTCAAGAAAATATAGGGAAGAAACAAAATTCTTCTAGTGCAAGGGTTTTATTTAGACCATTCGTGAGGTTCTAAGCAATCTCTAGACATAATTTACTACTTATGTCATGCAAGCATTAACAATTTTAGTTATTAAAATGTAAATGCCAATAAAATATTTTACTTGGTTATAATTACCTTACTGACATTTCATATTCATCTCTATCCATGACCTTCAGGAATTGCAAACTTTAGCCATTTTAGGAAAGAATAATTTAATAGGGAATTTCTTCCTTTTCAAATACAAATGTGCAAGCATTGTAGTTCATATTTAACTTACTTTTTTAACTGCCTCTCGAAATCTTCGTCCTGACATGGTTCTGTGGCAAGAAAGCAGAGTTATGTAAACATTTTCCCATTTGGAATGTGTGGGAACTATTCAAAAAGGCTTTTAGTAAATGCCAAGAAACTTAGCCTAGCTCACCCACAGCAGTAAAATATGTAGGAAGTCGATGGTGGTGGAGGGGGGGAGGCTTAGCTTTTTCCCTTCACTGGCCTATCTTCAAAGAAAATCCTGAATACAATGGCCCCAAAGACGGAAATGAACTCAATGAACAACAATGAGAGAGGAAGATCTTCAAAAGTTGGGGTGTAGCTCAATGATGGAGTACTTTCCTGAGAGGAACAAAGCCCAGAGCTCCTCCCCTGGTGCCATAAAAAAATGACAACATCATTTCCTATTCATGGTTTTGACACAATGGGTTAGTTGCATTCTACAAGTGAGAGCTTGGGCCCAGAGAAAGTTTGATAGTTGGCCCTACCTACAAGTAGGTACTCTTTCATTTTTTATATTTATTCCTCCAATATCATCTTGAATATTTACAGTTCACCAGGGGCACTTTTATGTGCTGATGATTTAATGGAATGAAAATCACATTCCAAGAATGGAAGGTGACCACCAAATAAATGAGGATGTGAGCTGAAGATACACAGAGAATAACGAAGCAGAGTAAGGATGGAAGGGGGTGGTGGGAGGGGTGGTGCTGATGCTGACGCTGGCGCTGAAGGGAGAGCGACAGCGATGGGTTCTTGCTGGTAAAGATGGCTTTAGGTAGTGTGAATAGATCTATATTAGCATCTCTATTCTAATATTCTAAGATTCTCTAAGATTCGAGCAGAGGAGTTTTAAAAAAAATTAAAAGACTTGGCCATGAGACTAACCAGAGAAGATGTGTTTCACGCAGAAAGAACCAGAAATTTAAAGTCTCTGAGCTCAGAACATGCTTTAGTGAATCTAGCAAGTGTATCTGTAGTTCTATCTATACAAAAAAAAAAAAAAACCAAAACCAAAACCAAAATTGACAATGGTGCAGCAGGACTGAAGCAGGGCGAACAAGAGGCAAAGTCAAAAGATACCAAAACAGGGAGCTGCATGAGACACAGACTGTGTGGGAACCTGGAGGAAATCTGAATGATCCGAGGATTACCTGGAATAAGATGGGAAAGGACTGGAAGGTTTTGGACAGAGAAGTGGCACATTGGAGTCCTGGTTTAAAGTAATGGTTCTCAAACTATGGGTCACAACACCTTTGGCAAACCTCAAGCTCCAAAAAATTTACATTATGATGCAAGACATTAGCAAAATTAGAGTTGTGAAGTAAATATGAAATATGAAAGAAAATAATGTTATGGTCACCACAGCATGAGAAACTGTGTTAAAGGGTCACAGCATCAGGACCACTTTTTAAAAGAAATGCAGGAGACTGCTGCATTGAGAAAGGACTACAGACGAATAATAAAGGAACCCAAACTGGAGGTTACGGGAATAATCTGAGCGAAAGAAAATGGTGATGGGGAATTAAAGAATGTGCTGGGTAGAATGTAAGAACTTGATATGTTCCTGAAAGAGGTAAAAAGAAATTCAAGGACTATTTCGACAACTTACCCTTACGAAAATAAGAAAGATTGTAAAATATACAGGCTTAGAACATTCTTCAGTCTTTCCAATACCTAAACTGATGTGTTCAAATCTTTTTATATTGTTTCAAGTCCGTATACCAACACAATTTATTGCACCCTTCTACATTTGGAATGCCACATTTGTGGATTTTTCACGCTTTTCCCATCTTTTTCACGGGTGAGAAGTTGGCATAGACAGATTTATTCTTCAGAGGCCCCGCGAAAAGAGAAAAAAATTATTTGTCACTGCTGCCAAACATAGTACAAGAGATCAGCAGAGAACTATCTTCCCCTAGAAATTAGGCCCAGGGACAAGGAGATGCCTCAGTAGGTAAAGGTGCTGGCCACCGAGCTTGATGACCCAAGTTCTGTCTCCAGAACCCATATGGTGACTTGTGTGATCTATCCTCTGACCTCCACAGGTATGTCAAGACCTATATGTCCCACCCACAAGCACACAACAACAGATAAGTGATTTTAAAAAGAATTAATCCCGACAGAAATCCATTTGTTTAGTATGAAACATTTTATAAAGAACTTACGTAAATTCCCCAGGGATAGCAGCTATGGCCAAAGACCCAAGAGTGACAATCTGAACATCAACAATATCTGGGTGCCAAGGATGAGGTTTCGTCAACTGAGACCCAATAAAAGAAAATGACATTAGGTATAAATTAACCTTTCCATTGTCAACAGTCATATGAGTGTCTTAAACAATTTCACATGTTTGAAGCTAGTTTTGTTTTTCTTACCACATCCATAGGATTCATTTCTAGCTATGATGTAACATTAAATACATCATGTACATGTTTATGTCCTGGCTGTAGCATATGAATCTCAAATGCAAGCTCCCTTGGTAAGTTCAGGGTGCTAAAGCATTTGAAGGAGCTTTGGTGGGCTCCTCATTCTGTGCAGGGTAAATGATGGCCTCCTCAATGGATATAGAAAACCATCTGTAATAGTTTATTGCAATCATTTTTGTTTTTACCCCGGCATTATTTTAAGTTGATAACTTCCAAGTCTGACTTTATCTTCCAAGGTTCCTTCAAGAGAATCTATACTTTTCCATACTTTGACTAGTAGAAACTGTCTCTCCATCCCTTCCTTCCCTCTTTCTCCTACCCTAACAATTTTAATAGGATACTGGAAGAGTCTACTTTATATACTTAACACTCCAACAATCATGTCTCTATGAATAGCGGAATGAATTTTTAACACTGCAAATGTAAAAAAAATTACATTCTGAAGTAGTGTTAAAAGAAAAATACTTTAAGTGGACAGTGATAGTGTTTGCCTTTAATCCTAGCACTTGGGAGACAAGAGGTAGGTGGATCTCTGAGTTTTAAGCCAGCCTGGATGGAGTTCTGGAGTAAGTTCCAGGACAGCCAGGGCTACACAAACAAATCCTGTCTTGAAAAGCAACCAAAAATTTACTTTAAATACTGATGTTGTCAAATAAGCAGAAGGAATTGAGTTGGATCTGCAGCATTCACATAAAGGCAGGCATGGTGGTGTGGCATGTACTTAGAATCTTAGCACTGGGAGGTGGAGACAGAGGGATCCCTGGGGCTTGCTGGTCAACCAGTCTAACCTAATTGGTGAGCCCCAGTTCCTAGTGAGAGTCCATGTCTCAATATATAGGTAAGTAGTGCAGAGGAAAAGCATCTGAGGTTACCACATACATCTACACACACACACACACACACACACACACACACACACGTGAATGTACACCTATACATTCAAAGGAAATAAATGTATATGTGGGGTCTGGCTGACCGGGAAGACTCTGCAGGTAACGTGCAGCCACACAACTCTGAGTTTGATCCTCAGGACCCATGTGCAAAAAGAGATCTGCACAAAAGTGTCCTCTGCCCTTTGCAAACATTCCCCCACATATATTACATATGCATGAAATAATAATAAATATGTAATCATAATAATAAATTATTCAAGAATATCTAAACAAACTCTTTCATGTCAGTAGTCATTGACCCTTCATTATCTGACTATTATTACATTGACCACTTATTATAGCTCAGACACCACAAAGCATAATATTCTGACTCCATTATGACAAGCAAATGCCTCACCTCTCCAGTGTGAAGTAGAATTGGCTTGGGTTTATGGCATTCTATGATTTCTTCAGATGGTTTGCCCAAGAGCTGGTCCCGAATAGTGTCCCAAAATAGATCCCCTTCTGTTGTTCCTATTAGGATTGTTATGGTTAATAAGATCCCTGCGCCAGAACTCTGCAGATGCCACGATTTAGATAGTATTACACACAATCATTTTAGACATATCAAATATTTTGTTAAGGTCACCGCTCAATGGCTGCAACAATTTGAGCAATATTTCTTTGTTGAGAAAACAAAGAAGAAGTGTTTTCTGCATGTCAAAAAATAATAGCCCTTAATTAGATTGTCATTTTTATAAAAGATAATAGAATACATTTTGTGTGGTAATCTCAGTGTTCGGTTTATATTAATATAACTCCTTTATGTCATAAACAAAGACAGTTTTATAATCCACACATTTGTGAACTGCATCATCTTTTTCTCATTTAAAAAACTAACAATGATGACTTCAACATGTAATACCAGCTGTCTGGCATGTAGACTAAAATAGTAAAACTTTTGGAATTACAGGGTAAGCCTTGCTGATGATACGTGGTTCTTGGGTGTGATGACAAGCCACTAGTCACAAAAAGGAAACTGATCAACACATTTTTGTCTCAAAGAAAATAATCATAAAATTGTGAAGATAACCTATCAAATTAGGGAATTTTTTTCAAATAATTTATCTGCTGAGGGATTTGTTTACGAAAATATACTTTAGAAAACCCCATAACTCAATGGTTGCAACCAAAACCCAAACTTAACAAAGAGTACATAAATAAACACTTCTCAAAAACATAGATGATGGCCAATAATCACACAAAAAGACCTATGACATTATCAAGCAGATGCAAATCTAAAACACAATAAGAGACATCATTCCACACACATGCTGACTAGAATCAACATGCTAGATAATAAAGATTGACGAAGATGTGGAAAAGCTGAATGGCTATTTTGAGGGCATAGACATAAACTAATATAGCCATTTTAGAGCTTATGTGATAGGTCTTTAGATGTTAAGACACAGTTAGTATATGACCAGCAAACTCTTTTCTAGATACACACCCAAGAAGAAAACTGCAAATACAGACCCAACCAAGCCCTTGGACATATGCACTAAGGACCTCATAATTCATAATGTATTTTTTGAAAGTGTAGCAACCCCAAGATCCATCAACTAAGAAATTGGCAAGTAACATCTGGTATATTGATACCATGAACAAATTCATCCATAAAAAAAATGGTATGCTTCCACATCTCTATCTCCATGTACCTCAAAAGCACAATGCTACATAAAAGATGCAAAAAAAATTTCATATGAAATATCTAAAGTAGAAAAATGGGAAGATGGGAGGCTTATTGGTTGCTTATACAGTGGCAGAGAAATGTGACAGCTAACATGTTCAGATTTTCTGCTGGAGTGATGGAAATTCCAAAGTTGACTATGGGAAGAGTGTATGCCTGCCAACATATTAAAATCCATCAGATGTACTTTAAATGGCTGACTTATATGGCTTGTCAATTATTTCTCAGTAGATAACTGTTATTGCTGAGTTATAGGAGGCTTTCTAAAATATATTTTCTGTACAATTCCCTTAAATTATTTGTAAACATTTTCTCTCATTCTCATGGTTGTTGTTGGTTTTTTTTTCTACTTTCTTCATTATAGTCTGGGCACACTGCCATCACAAGGAAATCATGACTGCCTAAAGCAATGGATAACCTGGGGCCAGGAAGACGGTTCAGTGTGTGAAGTCCTTGCTTCCAAAGGGTAAAGATCTGAGTTCAAATACACACACACACACACACACACACACACACACACACTAAATGCATTACCAAGGTTCATCAATATACTGAAATGCCAAGAGAATTTGTTTCTGCTTCTATCTGCATTAACAAAGCTAAGGGGTAAAAGACACCTATCCCTGGGGAATCGAGACATCACAGCCAAACATGGCCGGCCTGAAGCCTCCTGAGTCAGACATGGGAATCATAAACACACTGACCACAGTTAAGCTTCGTTAGGAAACAGAAGCCTGAAGCCTCCGAACCTGGAAGCACGCACTCCATCCTCCCTCTCACCCTGTGTAATATTGAGGCCCGAAACTCCATCAATTGTGCCTGCTGCGAAACTGTAGCCCAGGGCAGGTTTACATGTCTTCGCCTGAAAAAGGATCATAAAGCAAAAACAAAGACACAGAAGGTCAGCAGTAAGTAACAATGGGCTGTGCTCTGCCCATGTAAAACGGTCAGGACCCTCTGTCATACTCACTACATGTGTGTCATTGATCTGCACGCTCACATCTGTCATGTTCACCCACTGGTGAGCTGCAAACACTGGTCCAGTCACCTCCTCGGAGGCAGAATCATGTAGCTCCTAGAAAACCCATACAAAAGTTCACTGTCATGGCGGGGGGGAACTAGAGAGAAATGAACACTAACCCAGGCACCTAGCACTTACTGCACCAAGATAACTTCCTCTTACTCACTGCTTGAGAGCATCCGCAGCCCCTTTCCCACCTCCACAGTTCTCTCATCGTTTCCAGGGCTTCCCAGAACCTGAAACCTCCAGGGATGTCGACCTGCATCTATTCATCCCAAATAAGAACGTAACATGAAGCAGATCATGACGTAAAAGCTCCAGGCTCACACTCCCTGGAATGCCAGGCTGTCAGCAGGCAGACTTGGCATAAAGCATCCTCTTAGGACCCCTGAGCTCTCCAAAGACAGGTAGTGGCTCAGACACTGTGTCCCTCAAACATCAGCTAGTCATTGGCGTTCCTGCATTTTTTTAATATAAAATCAAGTGATATTTTTCCAAAAGTACGGGAAATGTAATTTTAATACTTTCAGAGACATTCGTGCTTACTCATCTGTGTCACACAATGCAGGAAAATCCTACTTCAGTACAAGGACGCTGGCCTGGCACCTAGGCCACTTCCATAACAGCCACCTGTGGCCTTTTAAGATAAGCAACTGGAGTCCCAGCTGCAGCCTGCCTCCGCTGATAAGCAGGGAAGTTGAGCCTCCCTGAAAAGAGAGCCTAGGATCTCTCTGCTCTGATTCTTTTTGCTCTCAGGCCAAGGACAGAAACAAAATTTCTGATACCAAAGTGTGTCACAGGCACACCCTAAAAAGAATCTGTTAATTTAGAATAATCCACTGATAATACCACGGTAAATAAAAAGTAAGTACAGCAATTAGCCTGCCTGTGGTTATAGATTTTATGTCTGATTATTTGAAAGGCACTTTTGTTCTTCTTAATTGCTCCTGAAATATTTTAGAACTCAGAAGAAATTATCTATTTAAACACAAGTAGGCAGTGTAGATGTGTACACACACACACACACACACACACACACACACACGTATGAGTAAGCCATGAAAACAAGGTCATTAAACGTTATCATGGACATAGCAGTTAGAAGCCATTTCTCTTCATAATTTCCCTTGAGATACAACTCTGTAGAAGCAGATACAAAAATGGGGACAGAATAGAAGACAAAATTTAGTACATCACTGGGGATATGGCTCTATCCATAATGTGTCTGTCACACAAACATGGAGGTCTCAGTTCCATTCCCAGTTCCTGTGTAAAGCTGGGTAGAGGAGGCACACTTCTAGAGCCCCAGTAGGGTAGACGGGCACACTCTTATAACCTCAGTAGCATAGGGGGGAGAGACACATGTCTAGAACCCCAGTAGGGCAGAGAAGCACATGTCTAGAACCCCCGTAGGGTAAAGAAGCACACTTCTAGAACCCCAGTAGGGTAGAGAGGCACACTTCTAGAACCCCAGTAGGGTGAAGAGGCACACTCTTAGAACCCTAGTAGGGTATAGAGGCACACTTCTAGAACCCCGGTAGGGTAGAGAGGCAAGCTTCTAGAACCCCAGTAAAGTGGAGAAATGAGCTTTTAGAACCCAAGTAAGGTGGAGAAACAAGCTTCTAGAACCCAAGTACTATGGAGATAGTGACAAGATTCCTAGGGCTTGTTGGCCAACCAGTCTAGCCAATTAGTAAGTTCCAAGTTTAATGAGACATCTCCTCTCAAATAACAAGATAGAAGGCAATTCAGCAAGACTCCCAACCCCAACCTTGGGTCTCTGCACACATGTGTACACATGCACATGTGTACATGCACCCCAAACACAAAAGCACATAGCTGTACATACATCCATCACACACATGAAACGAAAATTTTAGGAGCAGGAGTGGAATCATTCCTAGCAATCCCATTGAAAGCCAGATTCTCCCTTTAACACGAGGCGGAAAAAAGATGTGACCTCTGCCCTTTCAAAGAAGTATACAAATAAATGGGAATTTTTGGTGCCAGAGATGCTCAGCTCAGCTTTGTCACTGAAGGCCAAGTTCAGAAGTGGTCAGGTGCCTTTAGCCAGGCAATGACTGGAGAGGTTTCTGAGAATCCTCACGAGGCCACGTTAACTGAGCACTTTACAATCTATCTGTCAGCTCAGTCGGAGCTGCGCGCTCAGGCTTTCTAACATCCTAAAATAGAACATCTTCCTGCCTGCTTGGTTTTAAGTGCACTAGGAAGTCTGACCAGATGAGACAGAGTCCTGTGTGGCTCCCAAGGGCAACCTCCCAAACCCAAGTCTTTCAGACTTCCTGGCCAGGCTGAGCTCTTGCAATTATGGACATCCTAATAAATGATGTCTGTGGGTTTTAAAGAGCAACACGAAACAAAGATGCAAAGCGTTGGGCTCGTGCCTACCTTGGCTCTCTGGTAGATGGCCCGTCCTATAATCTGTGCGCTGTCAAACATGTCTTGCCCAGGTCCACTGGCCATGCACATGCTAGGCTGCAGCAAAATGAGACAATATGATCCATGGTGCGATGACAGACGGTTTTAAGAACTGGAAAATTACAACTGAATCCAACCAACTATGTGTGCTAAGTCAATTCTAGCTTTTCTCTTGAGACATTTTCTCCATTTACGGGCTAGGGCAAACAGAATCGTGCATGCATTTGTAGCAGGGAGTGCTTTTAGGATGCATCTATTCCAGGCACTTCCTTCTATTACTAGGAAACAGAGCTTCGGCTTGGTTGAGAAATTTTGCTGGACATTACACAAGGAGCTAACTCGGAGCTGGGACTGGAAGGTAGGCGTTATCCTCTGTCGCTGCCTTCTTACTTGTTCATGCTTGTCTGGGACTCTCGCTCTGACTGTCTTACACGGAGACTCATTTGGATTGCATTAGAACAGTTAGCAATCCTGGGAGGAAAAGGAACAACTCCAGCTTTATACCCAGTTTCCAAGAGCAGGAAATCCAAGGTTAACCAAATACTTCAATACAATGAATGTCACAAAAACATATGGAAAGAAACTACAGGCAAATAAATGGTACAGTGTGAGAAATAAAAATGACTTAAAAATAATAAGAAAACGGTCTTCGTAAGTTTGAGACCTTAAACATTTTAGAGATCTATATAGGAGGGACAACCTAATAAAGCTGAGAATCGATAGACTAAGGAATTTTCATACTATTAGGACAAACGTTTTAAAAACTAATGTATTAGGGACCTTAAGATTCTTCATAGAGAAAAACATATTGTTTTTACCTATGCAAAAGAGATAAACTCATTACACTCATTTCTTACACATCTGTGCTTGCTTGAACACTACCCATAACAGCTCCCATCAACCACAGTGCCCATCAGCGGACAACTAGCATGCGTACGCAGTAGAAGGCTTCTCAGCGACGAAAAGGGGTGGAATCCCTTCATTTGCAGCAACGTGCATGGAACTGGAGGCCTTCTGTTCAGTGAAATAACCCAGACACACAAAATCAAACACCACGTACTCTGATTCACTTGTGAAAGCTAGAAAGTTGGTCGCTTGCAAGAACGGGGTGGAAGAGGAGTCAACAGAGACCGGGAAAGGTGGAGAGGAAAGGGGCAGAGAGAAGTCAGATAAGGGCATCAAAACAATGCTAGACAGAATTTGTTCTGGGTTTCTGCAGCACAGTAGGGCAACAACTGCTGGCAACAATGTATGCTATATTTAAAATAATGAGAAAGGCGCGAAATGCCCAACATGTAAAAATAATTAATGTCTGAAGAGGTGGGTGTGCATATTACCCTAACATCATTATGCAGATTAACAAATTACTATAATATAAACTTGTCCAAGTACTGCATCTAAATTTGAAGAATAAAAGGAAAAGAATGTCCTGATTCATGCCCTATGATTAACCATGCTGAGTTGGCATTTCTCTTATTTGCAATCAAAAGCATCATAATACATGTACCATGAATTACAGACAAAAGGGGTTAATTCATAATCTATCTATCCATCTATCTATCTCTCAAGTGTATGTAAATGGCCATTCAATATTAGAACATGTTCAACTTCATGAATAATGAAATGAAAATTTTAACCTACAGCTAGTTCTTTGAATATTATACCATCAAGAAATCTAAGAGTGATATACTTGGCTTAAATGAAGGTCAGGACAATAGTCATTTACACATGGGTGGGTGGAAAATCCACTGAGAGGGTAGATAGGTAGACATGAGTATCATACATTGGCTGTGTTCTCTCTTCAACAGAAAATTTTTAAGTATGTCCTGAGTGGGGACTCCTATACCTGTGCAGATGTGTTTGAGGTCAGTGATCAAGCATGCTTACAAGAAGGAAGAGAAGAGAGAGGAAAAGAAAAACAGAAAAGTAAAGACTAGATTAACTCAATAATGGCACTTAAAAGTGAGTATAGGAAAATTACTTTAGTTATGGCTTAGAATGCGTTTGTTGGAAATAAAGAAACACATCCCAGAAGAGTGAGGAAGTGCAAACTCACATAAATGCCATTGGACAGAAAGCAAATGCTGTCTGCAGGATTTCTTGGAATGAGGGAAGTCAAAAAAAACATAACTAGAAAGTAACAGATTTTAGAAGGAATGAGAATCTTCTCGTGGTTTTTCTTATTATAAAAGAAAAGTTCATTGTAGGAAAACATGAAAACACATCGACAGGAAAATGCCACAGGAACATCAAAAGAAGAATCACTAACAATTAAAGATGTGTCACTTTTCCTTTCACTTCAACATTCATCTTGAAAAATTGCTATTATAGTGAATATGCAATATTGAATCCAAATTTATAACTCCACAAGCTTTCCCCCACATTATCCAGTATTCCAATATTTGATAAATTACTGCATAATATTATGCTGCAGATGAGTACGATTTATTTAACCATTTCATCTATGAATTATGGAGTTTAATAAGTAATCTTAAAATGTATGACAAATTAACTGTGTGAAAATTGCCCAAGTGAAGAAAAAGGGAAATTTTGCAGCTAAAAACAATAACATGCATAACTGTTAACCCATGTTGCTCCTCGAGTAGGTTTGAAGGGCAGAAACACAGTGTAACCGAATCAGCAACATGAAATGGTGGTGCTTGGTGTCCTAGTTACTTTCTATTGCTGTGCTGAAACACCATGACCAATGCAAGGTAGAAAAGAGTTTGATTGGGTTCACAGTTATGTTGGGGGAGATAAGGCACAAAGGTAGGTGAGTGGAACAGCTGCTGAGAGCTGACATCTTAATCTACAAGCAGGAACAAAGGAGAATAAGGAAATGGCATGAGCCATTTGAAACCTTAAAGCCCACCTTTAGTGACAAACCTCCTAAGCCACACCCACTAATCCTTCCCACACAGTTCTACCAATTGGGAACCAAATATTCAAACATGTGAGCCTATGGATACAATTCACATTGAACCACTACACTGAAGGACTTTTAATTTTTACTACTTTGAGAATCGGTGTTATTTGATGTTTTATAGAAAGACCAATTTTTAATTTTAAAGCAAAAAAAGAAAATCTATTTTTTAAAGTACTACAGGTTTACAGTCTGTAAGAAATGTCATAGCAGGAAGTTTTGGGTGCAACCTTGAAATCTCAGATTTACAAGGCAAAATGTTTTAAGCCGTCCAGGTTCAGGTCAGTACACATTACCCCTGCATTTGACATCACAGTGGAAAACTCAGACAACCCACTTAAAATTTAGAGGAGTTGGGTAAATGCTTCAGAGCACAGTGGAGACTGGAGAGCAGTGGGCCAGTGTGTACTTGGAAACAACACATTTGCATGCCATTGATGAATATTCAAACATGGAGTGCATGCCCTTACTACCTACCCCGCCGACGGGACAGGTGCTTTTCTCGTTGTCACAAGACTCTCCTGTGTTGGTGCAATGTGGACCAAGGATGTTGGGGGACACGTCTCCGAGATTTGATGAAGCAAAGCCTGCTACAAATGGTCCCTGCCAAAATGAACGCACATTACCTTTTATTTTGTTTCTTTAGTAAAAACACAAACACTCAATCCACTCAAAACTTGTGTATGAACATACGTGTGTGGAGAAGTGCAGAAGTCAAACTCAGGTATCTTTCTCGGAAGCTCTGCCTCATTCCATTGTTTGTTTTGGAGGCACAGCCTCTCACAAACTGTCCATCTGCTGATGAGGCAGTGCTGGCTGACCCATGAACCCCAGGATCTGCTTATCATTGCCTCTCCTACACTGAGATTATAAGCATGCCCAAATTTTGGCTTGAATGCTAGGTTCAGAAAGTATTTTACTAATTGAACTATTCCTCCAGCCCTCAAACATAGTCATGTACAGGCAATAAAAAGATAAACAATATTCTGAGAATTTTTTTTCTATTTTCTGAACAAAATTTATTTTATTGTATTTATTTTTATCTTATTTTCTAGTTTTTTATTTTCTGAAAAGGCTCCTGCTTTGATCCTATTGCTGAAAATAATCCAACTACCGACAAAGTTTTCAAAGCAGCCCTTCAAAGGCACACCTCCCTCTAATACACAATTTGATAAGAAATGCAGACTATACCAAGTGACAAAATGTGGGGTCATCTATCTAGTGTCTAGGACTTTACCTGAAACCCAGAAGTCTACATGCCCTTGACAGTCACCACCTAGAGCTGGCCCCCTGTGAGCTCCTCCTTACTTCAACCAGATTAGAAACAGACCGGGCATCAGTCTGGACCCACCTCATCCACCATTTCCAATCAACATCTTCAGTTTTCTTAGAGAAAGACATAAATCTATGGCCTTTTTAAGTATAAAGAGGAACCCCTTCCCCCAGATTGCATGGTAGTACACACTTGGAATCCTGCCAACTGGGAGGCTAAAGATGGAAGATCATAAGTTCAAGGTTAGCCTAGACTACATAGCAAGGCCTTTTCAAAAACAGGGGGGAAAATGGGCGGAAGGGATGAAAGGGAGAAAGAAAGAGAGGGAAGGGAAAATGGATGGGAGCAGGGAGAAAAAAAGGGAAAATAAGACAAAAGTCAATGCTAACTATAAAAGAGAAAGATAGCGTTTTGTCTAAAAAGAGACTAAAAGATCAGTTTTTAAAATGTGGTTACTATCTATAAAAGAACCATCATCGTCCACTATGGCCTTCGATTCTTATCCTCTTTATTCATCTACATCTGGTGCTTGCATCCAGTGGCCAGGCAGAGCAGTGTGTCTCCACCATTGTCTATCTGCAGACACTAGTTTATGCATAGCTTAAGAGGTTCCTGCCGTAAGTCAATTGGCTTGCTGGTTTTGTATCTCATTATTAGATGAGTTTCAGGGTCACAGATATCTAGGGTTTCTACTGGCTTAGGTTTATTTTTAACGTGTTTGGGTATTTTGCCTGCATTTATGTTCATGTACCATGTGCGTGCCAGTGCCTGTGGAGGCCAGAAGATGATGCTGGATTCCCTGAGACAGGAGTTACACACGGCTGTGAGCTGCAGTGTGGGTGCTGGGAATGGAGTCTGGCTCCTCTGGAAAATCAACAATGCTCTTAACTGATGAGGCACCTCCCCGGGTCCTTGGGTTTTGTTGGATAAATAAGGTCCTTGGAAGGAATGTTTTCTCTAGAAAAACCTTGAATCAATAAAAAGCATTCATGGTTTTACACCCTCAAGAAGGTGCACGATGCTCTCCTAGCACCAAGTATAAAAGTTAGCATCAGCAAAGTGAATTGCATTACCAGCTTGTCCAGATTATCACAGGCTACAAAACTACGAATCTGATTTTTCTTATATAATTGGTTTTAAATTTACAAAGCCATCAAATAAGAGTCATCTGCTACCAATAGCAAATGGTGTCTTGATTATTTGAAACATTTCTTTCCACAATGGGAGAAAATAGATAGACAGACAAGTAGAAATCTCTTTCCATACGGGTCAGAAGAGGGGTCAAATCTCCTGAAACTGGAGTCGTAGGTGGTTGTGAGGTTCCTGATATGGTTGCTAGGAATCAAGCCCTGTCCTCTGCAAATACTCTTAACAATGAGTCATTTCACCAGGCCAGTGAATTCTTCCTATCCATGAGAACACTTTCTTCTTGACATTTGAATCAAGGTGAAGATTTCAGGGACGTTGATTCTCACCTGTCCAGGTAGATAGCCTTTGTTCTTCTCTTGCTCAAACAGGTAGGCTGCATAGCCCATATTGTCACTATTCACAAGGTGGTTGCTATTGTTCATACTGACAGGGTGTATGGCAAACCAGCTATAAAAGAGCAGAAAGTTCCAAGTTAATTGAGAGAGCCCAAGGAGTGGGACAAAAGGTGACATCTTCTCTCAAAGGTTTAAGTCTTTTCCAGCAAGTAAAAGCACTTTGTAAGACTGACCCGCTACCCACTGCCCCAGTGAAACACATTAAAATGTCTTAAATTCTAAGCAGCCTACATTCAGATTCTTTCACTGTTGGTCAGATAAAATTGCCAATAATATGCCCAAAAGTTCTGATCATTCACATTAGAAAAATACAGGACTTCATTTTCATGAATATTACATCACCATTATCTTCATAAAAGCTTTAACAACTTCCAAGGGTGGTCAGTTACTAGAGAATAGTCCAAATAATTGGATAGACATAGACTCTGTTCTTCAGGACAGACACAAAGATGATAACTATCCCATTTAACCCAATCCAATTCAGTAGACTCTCAGTGAGAGTTAGCAGCACGCCATGCCTGGAATAAATGGAGGTTTCTCTTAGAATCTCACAGAAGACAGAGATGTGAACAAAACGCCCTTAATGTGATATGACAAATGATATAAAAAGGCTTTTCAGACACAGATGACTAGCAATTAATTTGAAGGGCATCACAGAGCTAGAAACGGCAGAGGAAGTGCATGAAGGCCTAAGAGAAGGTGTTATGCATAATTCAGCATGTCCTTATGCATAGTAGTACCTTGTTTAAATATAGATCCATGCACTTTACAAGCTAATTACACATCTGTTACTTTATTTCACAATGCTGGCAGGTCGTTCGTCTCCATCTGCACAGGTGACACCGAGAAGCCAAATGATGGCCCATGTGTCATAGAAGACTGGTGTCCTCTGACAGCTTGTCTGGAAGCCATCACACATCAGCCCTTCGCACAGGGGAAAGAAGCTGTGGCTGTGATTTGGTTGTGAAATTTCTCCCACCGAGTCTTGTGTCCAAAAACTTCGTATTTAACTGGTGGTACTGTTCTGAGAGAGAACAGAACTCTTTGGCTATGGAGCCTAGCTCACCGATGTAGGATTGTAGGCACCTGGTTTGAAGTCGTTAACTTGCGGTTTGCCGGGAAATGAAGCCACAGCTGCCCCCTGTTATCCACTTTATGGCAATTTGCATGACCCAACAGACTATACTCTGTCAAACTATGAGCAAACCACATCGTTCCCTCCTTTTCGGGCATGTTGTCAACGTGCTAGGGAAAGCTAGCTATGGGAAATGCCTGTGGAATGAGGGAGCAGAAAACAGGCTGAATCAAAATACTCAAGCAAAGAGAAATGTTGATTCGTGGAGTCTCAGGTTAATTTAGGAGTTTTCAAACTCCTGGGGATCCAATCCTATGCTGGGAAAAAGGTTTAAATGCTTAGCTTGCATCAGTACCTAAGTGAAATAGCACATAAAACGAAACATGTATTTAAAGACTTGGGTCGTTTTAGGACTTTGAGATCCACTTAAATCCTCCATTCTCATTACATAATAGTAGAAGCAGGGTTAGGGATGATGGCTTGAAGTTCCGTGTACGAGGCCAGCAGCATAAAGAGGTTGCTTTGATTGGTGCAGTGCGGTGCGGTCTGGTGTGGATTACAAAGGATTGGGAGAGACTACAGGAGCTGAAAGCCTCCAACCAGCAGGAGCCCAATGGTGCTCTATGGGAAGGCCTTTTCACCACACATGCAAATCAATCTCTCTCTCTCTCTCTCTCTCTCTCTGTGTGTGTGTGTGTGTAAAATAGTATATAGTATGTATTATGTAGATATAATAATCGTTATATAGTAATTGACTTTACAATTCTTCAGGTAGTAAACAGCACAGAAACAGAATTGTCACATATTAAGCATAATAAACAATACACATAGGCAAAAATACAGTCAGTATATTGTTTTCATATTCTGATTTAAACAGATAGGAAATAAACTTTATTGGGTTGCCAATACAACTCAGTGGTAGAGCATTTACTTAGCATGTGTACGGCCCTAAACTACACACAAACACACATGCATGCACACAAATCAATTAAACAAACTCAAAAATTTCAAAACTCTCTACAGTATAGACTGGTTATTGAATGCTTAAAAGAAATTGTTTTATTTTAATTTCAAGAATGAGATCTTAGAATCGGGCTGCTACCTTGTACAGCTCCCCTTTTTCAATCACAGATGTATACCCTTCGGGGACAATGTTTGTGAGTCTGAGCTGGACATCTCATTCGAAGTGACTTTATATCAAGGGACGGTCACATTCTGTATCCCACCCCTCCACCACCTCGTGCCAGGGAATCTGAGAGACTGAATACAGATCTGGCTGTGAACCCAGGAGAGCTGTAGAAGGATGCTCTTTCCTGTGGCACAAGGGACTGATTCGCCTCAGAGATGCTCCCATCCAGGATCCTGGCCAATCCTCCGAGTCCGCCATGTTGCTGCATCTCTGTCCATGGCATCGATAACCTTTCTAATAAAGTCCTCATCACCTTGGTATCTCTTCCAGTGTCTCTTGAACCCTCACTACATCCAAAGACCTAACCACAGCGAGCTGAAGTTACCTATTTTTCTAAAAACAAGGTCTTTGCTGAATAGCGACGTACACCGAAATATTTATGAACGGAATATAAGCTTTCTGCTGTTGGCTGTAAAAATATTCTAGTAAAACAAACGAAAATGAGAGTGGAAGAATGAAACAGAATGCTGCCATTTACATCAAAGCTGACTGTCACTGCATGGAGATTGTCCTACTAGGGGCCCTAATTAATGCTAAACTTTTCCAGTGTAGTTTTCTTCCTTTCATTAAAAATAATAATAACGAGATCCTTCTGCCTCAGGCTCCCAATTAATTCCAAAAATTACTAAATACAATAAGTTTCTGGCAAACCATCTGTCTGTAAAATAATTCTGTCCCCAGGTGTCTACTAATCACTGTGCAAAGTGTGGACACTGAAGACAGCCTAGGCTCACCCTCCAGAGCCACCTGCCAGAGTCTATATCTGAAAAATCCTTACCTTGGTCTCTCCCTTCGTCTCCCTTGCTATCTCTCCCCTTTATCCCTCTGTCTGTCCCTTGATTTCCATCTTCCTCTTAAAACACAAAATAAATTCAAATCAAATCAACTATTTCACTATTAGATATATTTTGCTGTTTTAATATTTCCCAATATTTCACTTATTGGGTTTGGAAAAAAATATTGCTGATGGCACAGTAGGCTCATGGTTTCTCAACCAAAATATTGGCATTTGATCTATTGATAATGAGGTGAGACAAATTCAAACACTATACAATTGAAAAAAATGCGCAGAACAATTCTCTCAACGTTGACTGTTATTTCTCACCATGTGCTAGGCAAAGGACTTCAAAACATCTTTAGTCAGATTATTAGTCAGAAACAATGATCATTCTCCTTTCAAAATAATTAAAGTAAGCCTGACCAAGTTCACAGTCACGCATCGAGGCAGTACTGTAAAGCCAGGTCCCCATTGTGGAACCCTGGCTCTTCCCCTCTATTCATTCACTTGCTCATTAATACAAAACGGGGCATCATCTCACCTTGAGAACGGATGTAATGCATTAATTTACCTTCAAGGTAAAGAACTCGTGAGAGAAGTAGAGGAAATAGCGCCAAAGCAAAGAGGAGCAAGCCACTGGGCAATGCATCCTGCCAATGTCAAGTCAATGAAGCATGAAATGTAACTGCTACTATGCTAATTCCCAAGAAACACACGTATTGGTGTGTTTCCATACCAAGGAAGCCATAATCACACACACTAATGTCTATGGGGAAATCAAAGGCTGAGAATTTCTCCTGATTAGACTACAAACTTAATCTATTTATTTCATCTACTTTACAGCTTAGAAAAATCAATTGCTCACTTGCAATAACTACTCAAGATGTCACTTGAACTACAGAAATAAGGGAGTACATCTTTCTGCTCTTCCCTTTGAAAGGTATACTATGAAAATGTTGGGCACATCCCAATGTCTAAGGAACTATGGCAGTGATGAATATTGATAAACGCAGAGTCACAGTCACATTCATTTTAAAAGATTATGGCTACAATTCATTTTTTTTCTGTTCGAAGTAGTATTCCTCAAAGCAAATTTCCGAAGAGTAGAGGAAAGACTTAGTTTCTTAGAAGGAGTTCAAATGAAGACCTAAAAGGATAAACATGCCCCTGGTGACACTTTATGCATAAGGGTAATGTCCATACCTCACTGTAATAAAGGACCCAGAACTCTATTTCAAGTCAGTGCAAAAACAATCAAGAAAGTAAGCCAAATCAGAGACCATTTACACTACAAAGGTTACTACAAAATTCCAGAGACTGAAACACAGTACATGTCAACAGAGTGTATAAATAAATAAGCAGCACAATAAGACTGGCAAGTATAATTAAGGTCTTCTGCTGTATAAATAAGACATTGGAGGAGGAAGATCCCTAGAGCCAGGGATTGAATACAAAATGTGTTTTTTGCTTTGAAAAAATTCTTAACTCTTCTAAAACAAATAGCAAGCCTAGCACTGGTTCCATTCACAGCTCTGGGCCTAATAAATAAACATAATATGAACTGTACCCTATGTAGGAGGTACAGGAATGCGATCACTGGGAACACAACCCAGTGGGTGCTCAGTTCACTGAGCCAGGTACTTCAGTCATTCTAGAGAAAAAGGCTGGCTTGGTGACATACCTGGCAAGGGCCTCTGTGCTAGCTGTAGCCCCCATCCAGCTTAAATGTACACAGACAAGGAAATAGAATGGTGTTAGTACATTCAGAGGTGGTGCTCACAGAGTCTAATGGGGACACGGGAACCCTTTGGGTGAACAATACAAAAAGCTATCATGGATTCATAATCAAAGTAAAGCTTAAATCAGATCATACCTGCTTAACATCGGCCCTAACTCTATTGCTGGCATTCATGAAGAGAGAAAACATAATAAACAAACAACAATGACAAAGAGGGATGCCTGAAGTTGGAGAGAAAAGGCAATGTGAGGATGGAGTTGGCCTGAATGGTG